ACATTTTCTAGGTTTTAAAATAAATCTGATTAAAATTAGTTTACATCTGAATTAGCATTCTCTCATTTTTAAAATGGAATTGCTCAATAATCTCTTTCCAATTTGGGGTAAAACAGATATAAAAATGATTTGTAGCCCCTCCAGAGTAAGAAGCTATTTAGACTTTCCTCTAGCATGACCTTAATAAAAAGTTTTAAATGCATATAATTAATTTGGGTTGTGGTACTAAGGATATTGAAGCTAATATTAGATAGATCTTGGCTGAAAGCAGGAAGTACCAGAGGAATGTCTGTTTTTCATTGATTGTACAAAGGTTTTTGACTGTGTGGATCATAACAAACTGTGGCTGACTCTGAGAAGAATGGGAATACCAGAACACTTGATTGTGCTAATGCGAAACCTATACTTGGACCAGGAGGCAGTTGTCAGAACAGAGCAAGGAAACAGTGCATGGTTCAAAATTGGGAAGGTTATCCTACGTCCATACCTTTTCAACCTATTTGCAGAACAACAGATTATCCAGGAGGCTGAGCTGTATGAAGAGAAATGTGCATCAGGATTGGTGAAAGATTCATCAACAATCTGTGTTATGCAGATGACACAACTCTGCTTGCTAAAACTGAAGAGGACCTAATGCACTTGCTGCAAAAGGTAAAGGACTGCAGCCCTCAATATGGATCAATATTAAGAAGACAACGATTCTTACCACTGGGCCAATTGGCAGCATCAGGATTGATGGTGAAGAGATTGAGATTGTTAACAGCTTTAGTTTGCTTGGCTTTGCAGTCAACACTTTTTGCACCAGCAACCAGGAAATTAAAAGACATATTGCAATGGGAAACTCTACTGTCAGAGACCTCTCCAAAGTACTTAAGAGCAATGGTGTCACTCTGGAGCCTAAGGTGCGCCTGATACAGGCGATGGTCTTTACAATCACTTGCTATGTGTCAGAGAGCTGGACAATAGCGAAGATAGAAGAATTGATGCCTCTGAACTGTGGTGCTGGAGAAGAGTATTGAATATACCATGGATTGCTAAGAAAACAAATAGGTTCAGCCTGGAGAGTGTTAAACCAGGCTGCTTCTTGGACACAAGTATTCTGATGCTTCATCTGACATCCTTTGGATATGTTGCAAGGAGGGACCAGTCCTTGGATAAGGTCGTCATTCTTGGGAGGGTGGAGGGACAGCGCAGGAGAGGAAGACCCTCTATGAGGTAGATTGATTCAGTGACTGGGGCAATGGGGGTAGATGTGTCAGAGACAGTGAGATAGGCACAGGATAGAGCAGGATTTAGGGCTGTTGTACATAGAGTCGCTATGAGTCACAGGCAACTTGACGGCACATAAATTTAGAAAGTTATTTTTTTTTTCTACACTTAATAATGTATCAGAGAAAACAGATACCTATATTCCTCTGCAAACTTTATAAAAACATGACTCTCCCCTATTTATGACAAGGAAGGCCAGTGTCTGTGTGGATCTACAGCTCAGATATCACTCAGACTCATAGTGACCCTCCATTGGGTTCCTGAGGCCATAAATCCTAATCAGAGTAGTTTGTTCATCTTTCCTTCTTGAACCATTCATTAATGAGCCTTCTTCAAGAATTCACACTGCTTGAGATACATGGCCTTTGAGTTAGCAGCATTACTCATTATGTACTATCCCATCAGAGTTCATTTTCATTCTAGATTAGAGAAAAAGAATAAAAGAATTATATAGCTAGAAACATAAGACTATCTTTTCCTCTCAGTTGCCTCTGAGCCAACTCCAATTCATGATGATCTACGTGAATAATTATACAACTGGACTCCATTAAAATATCGAAGGTGCATCTGGGTGGACTCAAACTCTCAACTGTCTTGCAGCTAAGTGTGTTAACCATTTACAGTATCCAGGTGCTTTACTGAGATCACATGGGGTATTAAAATTTTCTAGCAGGATCTGAATACCTTTTCAATAAAGGGTCAGACAGTAACTATTTTCAATTTAGCAGGCTAACTGATCTCTGATAATACCTAAAATTTTTAGTTGCAGTGTGAAAACAGCCATATATAATAATTATACAAGTAGGTGGGATGGATTAGGGACAGGGAAGGTGGTAGTTTACAGACTCCTGGTTTACCACATCAAAAGTTCTCTTCTTACTTTGGCTAAATGTGCAGCTTGAATTGACAGGGCTCTGTGCCTCACACCTTCAAAGATATAGGCTGAAGAAGGAAGTACCATTTTGCAGCTAGAACAGTAGCTATAGCAGGAAAAGAGACTAATTGCTTATAGCCTCTTCCCTCTCTTAGCTACAAAGTACAGTTTCAGGTACTCATTCTTTGCCAGAACTAGTTAAAATGGCTCTAAGAGCAATTAAGCTAGGAAAAGTCAAGAAGAAAAAGAAGTATTTCATGTGTGGAAAACGAGTTGCAGAAAATCCCATTTTTATACCTGTTCTTCACTATGAATCATCATCAACTTGATGGCACAAAACAACTTGTATTCTGTACTCTTTGTAATGGGATTATATCAAGAAATAGTCTAAATCCAGACTGGCCATGTGACTTCTTCTGGCCAACAGAATATAACAGAAGTAATGGCACACCAGTTCCATGGCTAGGTTTCCACAAATATAGTGGGCTTTGTCATCCCTTCTGGACCTCAACCTTAGCCAAATGAACAAGTTTGGGTTAGGATAACAGAAGATCATGTGTCCAAAATCATGTTGCTTCAGCCAGCACTTCAAACATGTAAAAGAACCACAGTTATCAGAATTATCTAGGTGAGCAAATGAAAGAACTCTTTTAATGCTAACCAAGCCTCACATACCTTGGGTGTGTTGTCAGGAAGGGCCAACCCTAAGAAAAAAAGACAGCAGCTGGGAAAAGTAGAGGGTCAGAGAGACAGAGGAAGATCCTCAACAAGATGGATTGCCATAGTGACGGTAACAATGGGTTAGAGTATTATCAGAGATCATGAGTATAGTACCGGTGGGGGAACGGTTCTGATTTGTTGTTCAGAGGGTTTCTATGAGTCATAGTTGACTCAATGGCATGAAATAAAACCATTTATGGGCAGCTACAAAAATGAGGTAGTGATTTTTGTGTTTCTTTGAGATTAGTTCAATTTGCACACAGGTAAGGGAAGAGGATTGGGAACAGAGGACAAATTAGACCACTAACACTATTTTATTCAGATACAATTACTTTCTCTTTTACAACAGGTATACTCTTTGTAAAGAAACTGCTATCAACATTTTTAAGGTTCTTATTTGGAATTGCACTTATGTTTTCCATCATGAATATTGTTTTCTTAGCAAGACACTTTACATTTTTTTACAGGGTTAAAGTTTAAAATTTTTACAATGTTCTAATTTTTTTTTTATCTTTTGCAGTCTATGCTTTTGTTACTATATTAAACAATCCATTGTTAAATATGATATTTATATATTCCTAATAGATGTGTTTCATAGTCTTTTTTTTCATTTTATTATTTTTCTTCTCCTTAACTTCTTCTTTACGGAGGATGGGATTAAAATAAAATGACAAAGTCAACAGTGACAAAATGGTTTTCCGTGCTCAGTCATTGTCCTTCCACACCAAAGTACATCTGGAAAACATCCCCACATCCTTTAGCATTTAGAAACTGATACAGCTGACCAAAGTCCATGTGGTTTCCCCTGGCTCCATGAGTACTGAATACTTTCTCTTCAAAGATTGAAAATTTTCTTTGTCTTTCCGGTTTACCATTTGTACCATCAAAAGGAATATCTTCTCGATGACGAATTAAAATTCTCTTCCAGTTTAGTTTTCTGAGTCTGAAAAGAAATGTTCCAGGACAATTTTACTGGGTTGTATTAACATCTGAGAAATTTAGAACCTGTCAAATCTCACACTATCAAAGGGACTTCTCAGAATTGCATTAAGGGTATCAACAGAGAAATGGGAAGATGAGTAAAATTTTAGTGTTCTTACGAAGTCCTTTGTTTCACAGAGGGACCCTTACAGAATCTCTAAGATGAAAGAAGAAATCACATCCACAGGAGCAGGTAGAATACAGACAGTATCTTGTTTAGGAGCTCAATTCACTCAACATACATTCATAGAATATTTCTTACATGAACTCTGTCATATGCTTATTCTCATTGCCATTGAGTTGCAACTGACTCTTGGCTGACCCTCAAATGCGTTTTCAGAAGCTGTAAATCATATAAGAGGAGAATGTCCATCTTCCCGCCCTTGGCTTGGGCAGTTTGTGGATTTGAACCACCTGCCTTTGGATTGGCAGTATAACTCCCTAACCACGAGACTACCATAGCTAATGCTACTAAGCATGATTTCTATCTTATTTACTGACTTGAGATTGAATTCCCATGAAGATACAACCCCATGGTCATATTTATTCCCTATCTCTATAATCTTGTTTGGTACTAAAATTATTGACACATTTTATAAAATAAATGCAAGCAAACCTTGACCAGAATTCTTCGCAGGCGCTTTGTGGGCCTTCCACACAAACAACACCAGGCTTCCCTGGCATGCTAAACCCAGACAAACAAAGCTCCTTTGCCCATTCTAGAATATTCTTTCTCTTGTATTTGTTGTAGATGTGATGACTATAGATCCAGAGTCTTGTGAGAATGAGATCAAGTGGCTGGACTGTACTCTCAATGGCTGCAGATGATGTGGCATCTCTGGTGATATAGTCACAAGCATGCTCTCTAACCCATTCTGTGGCATTCAAGATACAGACGTCGCCACAGTAGTTCTTCTGCAGATAAGCGTTCAGATCTGTGTTCAGCTGAGTCTGCTGGGATCTATTTAATAATACTGATCTGATGGAAAAGATACAGGAAAAAAGGAAGTAAATTTCTTACAGCAAAAATCAAGCATGATTTTATCTCAGATTAATTTTAATTTCTAAATTAGGTTGGGATATCTATAACTTACCTGACAGTAATTTCAGGAAGAATGGCAGGGTATTTGAAAGGCAGAATACATGCCAGTGAAACCACCACCTGATAAAATAAGAACAAAATGTTCTAAGTGCTGTTTTAAGTCTTGGCATGTTTCTCTTTTCCCAAAGATAAAACTGAATTACCATTGTGTCCTCAGGTATATTTAGGTTGATATTGACAGTAAAGTAAATTTTTGAAGATCGTCCTTCCATAGTCTTCTTCTCAATACAATCTTTCAATTCTGCTAAAGCCAGCTGGTCATTCACTACAAATTCATCCTCAGTGGGGAACATACTGGCCAACAGTTCTAGCTCAGAGAGCTGGGCCTCTGCCTGCTCAATCGTGGTCATTTTTTAAAAAAATGCCAGGAATTTTCTAAGGAGGAAGAAAACAAACAACAACTTATATACACAGTCTTGAGAGAATTCAATACAGCAATATGGAAATTTCCTCAAAATGTAAGTGATTTCTTCATAAAATGTTAACTTTAAATCAGATTCTCTTTCTCCATTATTCTATTTTGAGCTGTAATATACTAAGTACCAAAATAAGAAAAAATCCAAAAATAGGAGTAACACTCTACTAGTACTACAGGAAGGAGTCTGGTGGCCTAGTGGGTGAGGAGTTGAGCCACTAACCCAAAGGCAGGCCATTGGAGTCAACCAAGTGTGGAGGGGAAAAGACAGGAAATCTTCAGCTCTGTCATTTGCTGTTCTTGTGTCATGAGTCAGATGACCCACAGCTGACCCTCCAGTAGGTTTTAAGAGGCAGTGAGTTATAAGAAAGGAGCCTGCCCATCTCCCTTCCTATGGAGTACCTGGTGGATTCTAACTGTGTTCTATGCAACTGCAGCACAGCTTCTTACCCTTAGGCCACCAGAGCTCCCAACTGTACTAGAGTGTTACCACTATTTTTTTATTTTCTCTTATGTTGGTACTTAGTAAAGGTAGCTCAAAGTAGAATAATGGAATGTGACTTAAAGGCCCTGAAAATCCACTAGTGGATCAGGTATGAGGAAGTTGCATTTTAAAAGCAACCGATTTTCAGTTTTTATACTTCTGTTTTGTTTGTTAAGTGCCTTCAAGTCCAGTTTGACTCATAGCAATCCAATGAAGAAACACCTATGCCATCCTTAACACATTTGAGTCCACCGTCATGGACACTATCAGTCCATCTCATTGAGGGTCTTCCTCTCCTTCACTGACTCTCCATCTTTCCAAGCATGATGTCCCTTTCCAAAGAATAGCTTCTCTTAACAACATGTCAAAAACATGTTAGACGAAGCTTCACAATCTTTCCCTCCAAGGATCACTCTGTTTGCACATTCTCCAAGACATCTGTTTGATCTTTTGGTAGTCCATAGATATCAACATGCTTCTCCAACACCACAACTCAAATGCATTGATTCTTCTCCTGTCATCATTATTATACTGTCATACTTTTATTAATATTATAATACACCAAATTTCTATCAAGATTGTTGATCTGGCTTCTTAAAATACTGTAATAAGCACTCTACTAATACTACAATAGGGAACTCAGTTGGCTTAGTGGTAAGGAGTTATAATGTTAACCCAAAGGTAAGTGGTTTGAATCCATCAATGCTTTTCAGGAGAAAGATGGACCATGTCTTTCCATGTGATTCAGTGACTCTGAAAACCTGCTAGTGGGTCAGCTGTGCGTCTGCTCTGACTGCATGGTGGACAACAACAACAGGTAAATGAATTATATAAAAGCCCCATCAGTATTCAGATGGCAACAGATGGCAATATAACTAATTACTTGAGAAATCTACAATGAATGAAGTAAGAGAGTTTACTAATTTGGATAGTTAGAGATACAACCTTGATGTACGCCTTTCCTGATTTTGAATCACATAGTTCTCCCTTGCTCTGTTCAGATAACAGATTTTTTAATTTAAGCATAGGTTTCACATGAGCAAAATTAAATGTTCTGGGATCCCCATTCTTGTCCATGTTAACCAAAACTTGTTATAATCTATAAAATCAAATGCCTTTGCATCATCAATAAAACACAAATAGACATTACTCTGGCATTCTCTGCTTTCAGCCAGGATCCATCTGACAGCAACAATGATGTCCCCGGTGATTCTTTGAAAACAAGCTTGAATTTCTGGCAATTCACTGATAAAGTACTGCTCTAGTCATTTTTGGATGATCACCAGCAATATTTTACTTGCATGTTATTAAGGATATTGCTTAATGATTTCCTCATTCTGTTAGATCACCTTTGTTGGGAATGGGAACAAATATGGATAAGGATCTCTTCTGTCAGACAGTCAACCATCTAGGAAAGTAGATAGATAGATAGACAGACAGACAGACAGACCACTTGTTGCAGAAGATCAAGGAATACTGCCTTCAGTATGGACTGCATCTAAATGTCAAGAAAACAAAAATTCTTAACACTGGATCAACAGGCAGAGTCATGATGGACGAAGAGGAGATTGAAACTGTCAACAGCTTCATCTTGCTTGGATCCAGCTTGGATCCACAATTAACACCTTGGTACCAGGAGTCAGGAAAAAAGGAAATGAATTGCTCTGGGAAAATCCACACTTACGGGCCTTTCCAAATTATTGAGGAGTAGTGATGTCAGTTTGAGGACTAAGGGGCATCTGATTCAGGCCACAGTCTTTCCAATCTCTTGCTTTGCATCTGAGAGCTGGACAATGAATAGGGATGGACAACGAATAGGAAGAATGAACACCTAGAGCTGTGGGTTTGGAGAGGAGCACTGAACATCTCATGGACAGCAAAAAGAACAGAAAGATATGTCTTAGAGAGGGTGCAGCTTGAGTGTTCTTTGGAGGCAAGAATGATGAGGCTTTGCCTCACATACTTTGGGCATGTTGCTAGGAGAGGCTATTCCTTGGAGAGGAACATGATGCTGGGAAGGGTGGAGGGTTGGCAAAGGAGAGGAAGGCCCTAAGCCAGATAGTTTGACATGGTAACTACTACAATAGGGTTTGTGTGTCAGGAAGTGTGAGGATGGCACAGGAAAGAGCAGGGTTCAGATCTTTTGTTCACAGGGTCGCTGAGTCATACTTGACTCAATGGCACTTAACAACAACAAATATAACAATGTGTTTTATATATATATATCCATATGCATGTATGTGTGTGTATATATATACACATATACATATATATTGTTGTTAGGTGCTGTCTAGCTGAGTACGACTCATAGCAACCCAATGAACAAAAGATCTGAACTCTGTTCTTTATCATTGTTTCTCTAATGTTTACAGGGTTTTCAAAGGCCTGTTATTTCAGAAGTGGATGTCAATTCTGCTTCCAAGTCTGTCTTAATATGGGAGCTCTACCAAACCTTGTCTGCCATGGGTAACCATTATGGCATTTGACACACCCGTGGCGCTGTGTTCACTATCACAACAACCCCAAATTATCTCAGTACAACAAACTTATATACACTTATATACTTAACACACACAAAATGTTGTTGTTTTTGAGTACCACAGAGTTTGAACCAACCCACAGCTGATCCCTCAACAAGTTTTGAGAGGCAGTAAATCACATGGAAACTCTCTGCCCATTTTTCCCCACAAGCAGCTAGTGGATTAGAACTACATATCTTTCTGCTGGCAGTGTCTTTCCTTACCACTTAGCCATCGAATAAACTCAGATACAAACTGGGTGCCTGCCAGGGAGCATTCCTAAAACCCAGGCTGGACAACCTTGGTTTAAAATTGGGAAAGGTGTCCATCAGAGCTGTATCCATTCTCCATACCTACTCAATCTGTGCAAATCATTTGAGAAGTGGGACTTTATTAAGAGGAGTGTGGCATCAGAATTGAAGACAGCTTGTTTATGACCTGCATTACGCAAATGACACAATTTTTCTTGCTAAAAGTTAGTAAGACCTGAAGCACTTGCTGCAGAGGATCAAGGATTATAGCTGTAAACATGGACTACAGCTTTCAACATGGACTACAACCTCCAACATGGACTACAACTCAAAAATCAAGAAAACAAAAATTCTCACCACTCGACCAATAGGCAACATCATGGTAGAGAAAAGGTTGAAATGTCAATGATTTTATCTTGCTTGGATCCATGGTCAACACTCATGGTACTAGCAGTCAGGAGATCAGGAGACGAATAACATTGGGGAAAGTCTACTGTTCGGAATTTCTACAAAGTCCTGAAGAGCAATGCTCTTAATTTAAAGACTAAGGAGCGCCTGCCTCAAGCCACAGTCTTTCTAATCACCTGCTATGCATCTGAGAGCTGACAATGAGTAAGAATTACAGAAGAAGAATTGGTGCATTTGAGTTGTAGTGCTGGAGAACAGTGCAGAATATCCCATGAACTGCCAAAAGAACACTCAGATATGTCTTGGAGAAAGTGCAACCAGAATGATCCTTAGAGGCAAAAAATGGTAAAGCTTAATCTCATGCATTTGAACATATTATTAAGAGAAGCTAAGGGCAGTGTGGGAAAACAAAGTCAAATATTACAATGAAATGTGCAAGGAGCTGGAGTCAGGAAATCAAAGGGGCCGGACTTGCTCAGCATTTCTTAAGCTGAAGGAACTAAAGTAACAAATTCAAGCCTCAAGTTGCAATACTTAAGGATGCTTGGGGCAGAATATTGAATGATCCAGGAAGCATTTAAAAAAAAAAAAAAGGCGAGGGCGACGCAGCGTGAGGGCGAGTCCGCCAGCCAGGGGAACGCCGCCGCCAGCCGGGAGAACGCCGCCGCCGCCAGCTGGGGGAACGCATGCCGCCGCCAGCCGGGGGAAGCCGCCACCAACTGGGGGAAGCCGCCGCCAGCCAGGGGAACGCACGCCGCCGCCAGCTGGGAGAACGCCGCCACCAGCCGGGGGAACGCCGCGAGAGGGACCCGGAAGAGACCTGGAAAGAACAACACCCAGCCACCTACCGCGGAACTCCAGAGGAGCGAAGACTGTGAGACCCCAGAGGAACGAAGACTACCGGACACTGTGGGACCCCCCTGCAACCCACACCTGTGTGACCCTTA